AAAACAGAGCAATGCTGTCTTAGAGCAGTATTTTATTACTTGAAGCTGAGTCAGGTTTCTCTCACCTCCTCAGCTGTCCATGTACCAGGCCTTCCAACTCTCCATCTTCCTCATTAGGCTCAACAAATAGAATGACTCACAGAGTTGGTGCCATCCAGCCTCTATCACTGGTACAATGAACACAGTAGTCATGATTGCAGGAGGCTATCTATGGGCTAAACAATAGGGGTGTTCACTCACTAAGACTGATATAGCTACTTCAGCAGCTAATTGTTCAAACTATCATAAACAGAGACCAATCTTCATTTGAAGAGGCTAATCAGTCACTTGGCAGTAAGTTGATTGCATTAGACAATTTCCAGTATGAAAGGGGTAGGGATTCACCTTGACCTAAATTAACACCTCTTTGCAGTATCGGTTGCTTTTCCTCTCTGTAGAGCTTTAGCCAACATCATCATCTAAAAGTTCATGGAGAGTTTGATTAATGACATGGGCTCCTGCATAACATCTCATCAGACCAAGGAACTCATTTAGCAAAGTAAGTGTAGTCGTGGAATCATGATTGTGGGATCCATGTATGGTACTATCCAGAAGTGGCTAGCCCAGGAGAATGATATACTTTTGAAAGTACAGCTAAGTCAATATACAGAAGTCTGTTGCATTTCTATACACTAATAAAGAATGATTAGAAGAAGAAATTGAGAAAATAATCTCATTTACAATTGCATCGAAAAGAATAAAATACCTAGGGATAAATTTAACCAAAGATTTGAAAGTCTTGTACTCTGAAAACTATAAGACACTAAAGAAAGAAATTGAAGAGGACACAAATAAATGGAAGGATATACCATGCTCATGGATTAGAAGGATTACTGTTGTTAAAATGTCCTTACTATCTAAAACAACATAATTAAATGCAATCCCTATCAAAATACCAATTGCATTCTTCTCAGAACTAGAACAACTAATCCTAAAATTTATATGGAACCACAAAAGACATCGAATAACCAAAGAAATTTTGAGAAAGAACAAAGTGGGAGGTATCACGCTCCCTGATTTCAAGCTATGCTAAAAAGCCATAATAATCAAAACAGTATGGTACTGGCATAAAAACCAATATATAGATCAATGGAATAGAATAGAGAGCCCAGAAATAAGGCCTCACTTATATGGTCAATTACTCTATGACGAAGGAGACAAAAATATACAATGGGGTAAAAACAGTCTCTTCACTAAGTGGTGTTAGGAAAATTGGACGGACATATGCAAAAGAAAGAAAGAAAGAAACAAACAAACAAACAAACTGGACCACCTTCTTACACCATATACAAGAATAGATTCAAAATGGATTAAAGACTTAAATATGAGACCCAAAGCCATAAAACCTCTAGAAGAAAAACATAGGCAGTAATCTCTCTGATATTGCTACTAGTAATTTCTTTTTGGACATATCTCCTCAGGCAAGGGAAACAAAAGAAAAATAAACTGATGAGACTACATCAAATTAAAAAGGTTTTGCACAGCAAAGAAATCATCAACAAAATGAAAAGACAAACTACTGAATGGGAGACAATATTTGCTTATGATACATCTAATAAGGAGTTAATATCTAAAATATACAAAAACTCATATGGCTCAACAAAAACAACACAAAACAATCCAATTAAAAAATGGGCAGAAAACCTAAATAGAGGAAATATAGATGGCCGATAGACATATGAAAAAATGTTCAAGGTCACTAATCATCAGAGAAATGCAAATTAAAACCACAATGAGATATCTCCTCACACCTATCAGAATGGCTGTCATCAATAAGACAAAGAACAAGTGTTGGTGAGGATGTGGAGAAAAGGGAACCCTCATACACAGTAGGACTGCAAATTGGTATAGTCGCTATGGAAAACAGTCTAGAGGTTCCTCAAAAAATTAAAAATTAAAAAAGTGCAAATGCTAAGTTTTGACTTAGCAATTGCACTTCTGGGTGTGCATCCAAAGAAAACCAAAACAATAATTCGTAAAGATCTAGGAAAACAGTAGAGGTTCCTCAAAAAATTAAAAATTAAAAAAGTGCAAATGCTAAGTTTTGACTTAGCAATTGCACTTCTGGGTGTGCATCCAAAGAAAACCAAAGCAATAATTCGTAAAGATCTATGCATCCCCATGTTCTTGGCAGCACTATTTATAATAGCCATGATATGGAAGCAATCTAAATGCCCATCAACAGACAATTAGATAAAGAATTTATGGTTCATATATACGATAGAATATTACTCAACCATAAAACATAAAATCCTACCATTTGCAACGCATGGATGGACCTAGAGGTTATTATGATGAGTGAAATAAGTCAGACCGAGAAAGATAAATACCATCTGATTTCACTTATATGCAGAATCTAAGCAACAAAAAGAACAAACTAATTGAAAACAGACTCACAAATATAGAGGACAATTTGGAAATGGCAAGAGGGAAGGGGAGTGGGGAGCTGGGAAAAAGCAGTGAAGGGTTAAAGAAGTACAAATTAGTAGTAGATAGGTGGTCACGGGGTCAGGGAACACAGCATAGTTGGAATGCAATCAGCAGTAATGTAATGGCTATTGTAGAGCCAGAGAGAGTAATCAGCGGGATCATTTCATAAACTATATAAATGTCTAACCAATGTACTGTATACTTGAAACTAATACTATAATAAAATTTTAAAAAGGAAATTCCATATATCTGTTTATGTACTCTAAATATATGTATACTTTATACATAAAAAGAATGTGATTTTTTTCACCTCCAAAAAAAAATAAGTGGTGTTAGAAAATCTGGACAAGTACATGCAAAAAAATGAAACCAGACCACTTTCTTACACCATAAACAAAAATAAACTCAAAATAGATTAAAGACTTAAATATA